TATATTTTAAAACATTGCCATCTAGTGTTAAAAAAACAAAATACAGTGGATTAAAATGAAACTTGGTCATTTTAGGTCAAGTGGGATATTCTCATTGCCTGATCCAGTATTTCTGTTTTGTTTGTTGTTGGGTTTTTTTTTTGTTTGTTTGTTTTGTTTTTTGTAAATGTAATAAATTAAATATACACAAATTAAGAATTAAGAGGTTCTTCAAAATAAGGGTGTCTCAAATGTGCAAGCAAGGGGTAATTTACAGCCATCTAAAAGATGTAGTTTAGCCCCTAACAAAAAACATAAAATTTAACTCTATTAGTGGTGGGCATATATATATATATATATTTTTTTTTAATCTAGATCAGTGTTGACTAAAATCACATATTCATGCTGTGTGTGTGCTACCTATAGTAAAAAAAAAATCTTTGAACAGGTTTTTCAAGGCAGGTGGCGCATTAGAACAGGGGATCATCTCTTGTTTCCAATATTCCTCACAAACTGCTTGAGAAAGCTTTTCTACTACGATAACTGGTGATTAAAATAATTAATAATAATAATATTTATTTGTGCTTAATTACTGTTTACTGAGATACACATTAATTTTGAACTTTAGGCCTGCATATTAGGTCATGATGAACTGTTTAAAGTCAGTAGCTTTGTGTCAGTCCAAGCTTTATTTCTCCTTTTTTCACCAGTCACCCAGACAGACCAACTCTGAGGCCACATAATTGGAGGATAATACTAAAATATGTTTTTAAAATGTCTCTTGTGATGTGAAGATCCCAAGGTTTTGAAAAATGCATCATATGAAACTCTAGCTCTAGAAATGAAGTAGGCTAAATAAATACCACAGAAGCTACATATTCAAAAAGTTTCCCATTTTACCCAAATGCACCAAAGCAATCAATCATCAAGAAGCAAACATAATGTTGTGATAATCATTAAATTACCTTTAAATTACATTACATAGCCTACCTGCCTTTAAGTGGTACTTGAGACAAGAGGAACTCCTGAAGTAAACCAATTTTGCATTGCACAAGGTGTAAACAGCTTTAGTGTTGCCGAGTTTTCTATTGGGAATCTTCTAAAAAATATATTTTCCCTGAAGCAAACCAGGCATCTGTATAGCTGGATCCATGTTAGCACGTCACGTTCAATGTGGTAATTTCACAGTACGCCTACACTGGTTCGAAGACTGATTCGTTTTCGACCCCAGATATACATCCGTGCTAAAAAATCAAGGTGAAAGTCATCATTAGTATAGACCCAGCTCCCAACCCAACTGTGGGAATAGGATATTGGCGATATATTTTTTTATAATAGTGGCTCACCACTAATATATATCAGCATATTACTGAAAATCATCAAATTCTACCGAGGATCGATATAGTTTATCAAGAGTTGCATCTTAATATAGGCTTCTTTTTTAAAATGTCTTCCTTTAAAATGTAGTGTATGTTGTATTTGGATTTTTTTTTTTTATCTGTTTGAAACTTTAATGATTCACTGTAGATTTAAGCTAAACATGACATAACTTGACATATCTGATGTTGGTCAAGCAACTCTTAATTGGTACATGTACCTCTGTAGTACTGGGTGAGCCTGGGCAGAGGTGAGTAGAAACGTCTTGCATTTACTCACATTTACTTAAGAAACTTTTAGAACAAAAATTATATTTACAATTAGTTGTACTTTGCAATATTTAACTTGAGTGATATTTTTGTGAGAGTATTACTACTCTTTTGTAAAATGTCTGGGTGCTCTCCCCACGGTGAGTAACCTGAGATCCAGAGATCAGATAAAAATACAGTAAACAGTAGATATTGTAGCTACAAGTTGTTCATCCTTTCCTAATATATCCATCATCTACAGTAAATATTGTTTTTTGTTTTTTTTATGCATGTTAAAAAAAATGTTTTGTCATTGTCTCCTTTCTCTTCTTTCTTTCATCTTTTCTCTTTCTTTTTTCCTTTTCTTCTTCTGTTTTTCTGCTCTATTTACGTTGCATTGTCCATATAAACTGTAAAACTCCCTGCATAATTATAATAAAGCAATTTGTATGCATGAAACAAGTGGAGCAATATGGCAATTGCCATACTGCTACACTTGTGAAAGTAAAATCTGTTGGGCTCTTTTTGGCATCAAGACAATTATTCTTATTGCCACATTGCCAGACAGGACACTGTAGAAAAAATAAAAATAAAAAATTATTTGGAAAATTGGTTCCTCAGCTTAGATTTGTTATTTAGTCACCATATTGGTATTATTTATTAGAATTTTATATCTTACTTTCAATCATACATATAAATGTCTTACTGATAAAATAGTTTCTAAAAATTGTATTGGATTTTATGTCAGCCAACAATTACTCAGCACTTAAGTAACCATTTTAAGTAGTTTGAAGTACTTTTAACTCTTACTTGAGCAAATCCTAAACGACTACTTTCTATTTTTACTTGAATTAAAAACATGTTGAACTAATGCTACTCTAAAAAAAATAAAAATAATTCTGTACTCTTTTCGCCTCTGGCCTTGTCCATCTTTGTCAGATTTGTCTCTGTAAAGTGCCTTGATATGATTTGTTGTGAAGTGGCACTTCAAAATAGGCCAAATTGAATAATTGCATTTAAACTCTGTGATATCTGCTCCTTTTTCCCTGGCATTATCTAAAAAGCTGTATTCCACACATGGTTTGGATTCTGCAGGAATCAATATGAAAGGTTTCTTTGAATTTGTTCTGTAAAAAGCTGTAATTTTCTTATTTCTGTTGTTAACTTTCTTTTCAGCAGAGGGAGATTTAGATTGGCAAGCAAAATATAAGAAAAAATTTTTAAATGCTTACAGCTTAAGCTAGCAGTTTAATTTATTGCATTATCAATTACTATGATTTATTTTTATTAGCTTCAATGAACTTAACTGCTTTGGAGTATTAGAAAAAATTGCTATGCCTACCTTTGCATGGAAACTTCAGTTATATTCTTGTGTATTAAACTTTTTATCATTTTAGTGCTCCTATTTATCACAAAGGTCTGTTTAGCTTTGGTGTGAAAAGTATATCCCTCATGTTTTCTTCTCTTCTCTGACATCCTCTTGGAGAGATGGTAATATTAAATAATTTCCCCAACTTTGCTTTTTATTGAGGTCTTCACTTTTCTTATGATATGTTTTTCTTTTCTTCCCTTCTTTAATGCATAGCAATGATTATCCATATAGTAATTTCATAGTTTTGGAGATTCTGTCAGTTGTGAAGTATATCAATGGGAAATTCACATTGTTGTCTCTGTAACATCTCTGTACAAACATCTGTTTTTGCTTTTTCTTTTTTTTTCAGGCTCATATCATACCATAGATAAACATCATAAACTATTTTTTTTTATACACTAAAGGCTGTATGTTTACAGAGCTGCCCATAAAAATGTGGGCATGATGGTTTTTTTTTCGTAATGGCAATGTGTGAAATGGCTCTCTGGAGAATTTCAAACTAAATTTTTAGACAGGCAAAGACAAGAGATAGCTGTGTGTTGAAGCAAGAAAGAGAGAATGTGAGAGAGGGGGCGATTAAGAGTTTTTAAAAACATAAATGTTTTATTTTATTAACTTTGTCTCAGTTTTCTGTGTTTCTAGGATGCTGAGGCAGCACTTTAAGGTAGTAAAGTAAAGCTACATTCGATACAGCAACAACCTTTAAGAAGTTAGGACTAAAAAAAAAAAAAAAAACACTTCTGATAAGATTTTGCACCAATTTGCTCAAAGAGATTTAGACACAAACAGAGCGTTTTGCCTCAGGAACTTCTTTTGGTGCACTGTATCCACAAACTTCAGTCCATTTCAATGAGTTTAATGTGAGATAAATATATTAATGGTAGAGGGTGTGTCCTGTTGGAAGCTGAACATTCATATCATTCATATGCTGTACTATTTAAACTACCTGTGAAAAAAATACAAATGGAATTAATCAAACTTGTTTTGTTTTGTTTTGCAGTGGTTTTAGTTTTGCCGATCCTCCATGAACACCAGGTTTATTTTGAGCAAAACCTGACTCTCCTTTCAGCCAATTCTCTCAGTTGAGTTATGGATCGCTATTGCTCCTTCAGAGTTACTCTGGCACTCTATGGGTTGTTTTTTTTTATTTATACTCTTCTTGCCAAGAGTGCTTACGTAGATTACAGCTGTATTCAATGAATCATTGAACCCCAAATCTGAATAGTTGCACTAAATTTATTTTAAGGGAATTGGAATAAATGGAGCTTAATGCACAACAAAAAATATATGATTTTTTTATTGATAAAAACAGCTTTAAAATATTTGATTCCAAGAAAATAAAAATATATAAAATATATAAATATATAAAATAAAAATATATAATATACAAAACTAAAGAAAACCACATTTGGAACTTATATCCTTATTTTCAAATCGAGATCTGGTTGCAGAACAATTCATCTTTGTTATTGAAATGTTCGAGAAAAATAATAATGAATTTAAAAAAAAGTACATTAAAATATATTACAGATCCAAAAAAAAAAAATAAAAGTACATGAGAACACAATAGTTGATCATAACTGGATTTACTTAAATGCATTTACCTTTATCTAACATTATACTCTTTGGGCTGCACGCTGGAGAACTGGGTAGCCCCTAAAAAGGTTCCAGGTTCGCTTCCCGGCTGGAGTCTTTCTGCGTGGCCTTTGCATGTTGGCCCCATGCATTCGTTGGTTCTCTCCAGGTAGTCCCACAAAAACAGAACTATTAGGTTATTTGGCTACACTAAAATTGTGTGTGTGTGCATGGTGTTATGTCAGTGTGTCACTGTGTTGCCCTGCGACAGATTGGCAACCTGTCCAGGGTGTACCCCTACCTCCTGCCAATAGACTTTCAGAGATATTCACTTGCTCCACCGCGACCCTGACAGAATAAACGTGGAATGGATGGATGGATGGATGGATGGATGGATGGATGGATGGATGGATGGATGGATGGATGGATGGAT